GGAAATGCCTCTCTGGACTGGCTGTTTCGCTCTTTTGCTCCAGTAAGTGTCCTGACGCTGTTTGCACCTTTCCGGCACGCCGGGGCTCGTGCCGCTCCGGGTCCTTGTTCCGGGCACAGCCCCGGGTGCTGCGCTGCGGCCGCAAGCACTGCGCTCTGGCCCTCCCTGCTTCCCGCGCTGTTTGCATGAGAAAAGTTGGATTTAATTACTGCTAGCCTTCTCATTAAGCCAGTATAAACCTCCCAGAAGTGAAACACCTGAGAGAGCCCTAACCAGCTGCCTGGATGGCTTTACTTTGGCTGATGAATTACGCTGACTAGCCTAATCCGCCTGGTGGGCTGGAGAAGGCAAGGAATGGATGAACTCATTCCAGCGAGCCCAGGGGACGATGTGCAGACAGAGAGCAAAAGGGGGGGTGCCAAGTGGCCACGAAGGGGTGACACAGGCAGTGTCACAGGGAGGGGGGGGGCACCTGGGCCACGCTCCCCTCCCCGGGAGGCACGGGAGCCTCCGTCCCCGCTCACCCCCGAGGACGGAGGGGGGCAGAGCGGGTGCTCTTTCTCTCCCCGCTGCAGCTAACGTGTTGCTTTGTTGCTGCTCCGCCGCCCGGCAGAAGGCTGCGGGGAGAGCACGAGGACTCCCCGCGTGCTGGGCGGGAGCCCTGCGGCCATCAGGGCTTGGCCCTGGCAGGTCAGCCTGCGGTACAGGAACGAGCACATCTGCGGGGGCAGCATCATCGACCCCAGCTGGGTCCTGACGGCAGCGCACTGCTTCAAGTGAGTGGGTGACCCCCCCCGCTGCAGCGCGCCCACCGGCCAGCACCAACGTGCCGGGGCTGGGGTGGCTCCTCGAGGCCAGGCTGAGTCCCTATGGGTCTAAGCCACATGTTGCTTAAATGTCCCTTAATTAAGACGTCTGCACGGGGGTTTGTGCCCCTCGGTCCAGCGCAGCTGATGCTGAGCAGGGCAGCGTGTAGGCAGGGCTTTGCTGCCTGTCCCCGCAGCAGAGTCACGGAGGGGAAAGAGAGCAATAACAGAGATGTCTGTGCACAGGAACAACCCCATCGTTCAGAGCTGGCACGTGAAGGCTGGCTCCAACCTCCTCCAGGGCGCCGCCACCCTTGCTGTGGAGAAGGTCTTCGTGGCGGAGGTGACGTCCACGTCCCCCAGGGACAATGACATTGCCCTGGTGAAGCTGCGGTCTCCCCTGCATGTCTCAGGTGAGACGAGGCACACGCCCCTTGGAGCA